AGAGAGAGAGAGAGAGAGAGAGACAGAGACAGAGACAGAGAGAGACAGACAGAGAGCCAACCTCACCACGGCGGGAGGCACCGCGAAACGAACATGGCGCGGGGAACCGACCCCCCCCCGGCGCGGACCAGAGAGTCCCCGACTGCAAAAAAAAACGGGCCTGTGGTGATCAGGGCGTGAGGCGCTCCGTCTGCACACACACACACACACGAGCAATGGGCGCCGGCTTCAGCGCGCTCTGGCCTGCGCGCATCGACGCCTCCGTGACTCGTGGCGCCACCTCGGGGCATCCCCCGCAGCGGCCCAGTGTTCTCGCTGTTCCGCGCCCGAGAGAGGAGAGGCTGGCACTTGCATGTCAGCGGTGAGCTTCAAGGTGCGCCTGGATGCTTCCCTGGGGAATGACCTCGAGAGGAGCGGTCGGACGGCACGCCTGTTGCAGATCTTTCCACGCGGACCGAGCTCATTGGAATCTGTCCAGCAGAGGGTAGACTGTTCCTGGATGGAAAGAAGGGTCTGCGCAAGGTTTGTGGCACGCTATTGCAGTGCCGTGATGCTAGCGATGAAAACTGTTTCGCGTTCACGATCCGGCTGTTTCCTGGCAGCCATAAGTTACTGCGTGAGGGCGTGCCTGCGATCCGTTCCCTGCATTGGTGTTCCACATGTGCCTTCACCCTCTTGGGTGGTGGGGCGGTCGGCAGTCCCCGTGCCCCTGTTGGAGGGGGAAGTGAACTGGTGGCTGTGCGTGGTGGCCACAGAGGCGGGGATCTGGTCGACGACCGCCCCTTGCAGCATCGCTCCCGTGTGCCGTTGCTGACGCCATTCTGTGCTTTCGTCGTCGGCGTCGTGGCTGCCGCTATCGGACTTTCCTGGTGGAGTAGCAGTGGTTTCTTCATCTTTGTCCAAGGCCGCGCCTAACGTCTATATGGATGTTCGCGCGGGAAAAACAAGCCCACCGCAGCCCAGCGCCACGGAGAGCCCATTGGACCCACCCGACGAGCTTCGGCGCGGCACCGCACGCCACCATCGGAGACGTCAGCACCACGTTGGCATGACAGGTGGAACACGCCCTACCCTGTCACAGACAACTGTCTCAACGTGGCGTAGCACGCGGGATGCCCGCTGGACATCGTTCAAGTCGGAAGGTATTTCTACGATAACCACCGTTGGTACATTCGCATGGCAGGGGCGCAATCCAGACCCATGGCACGCACCACCGGTCACCTTCAAGGTAGCTCCTTCTCCCTCGACGATGTCAAACTCCTGATGCGCGTCTGGACCAACAGACAACGCCGTTGCGCGCCACGACCCCTGCGCTTAACGTTCGTCGACGACAGGAACTCCACCGCGCCAGCTGCCAGAGAGCTCCAGGCTTCACTTAACGAGACGATCGTTTTCGATTTCCTCTCAGGCCCAAAAATTCACCCCGGTAGAGTTGCGGGCCGGGCCGTCGGCGAAGAGCTCCACCACCAGGCGGCGCCTCTCCAACTCAACTGACACCCGCTGCAAGCTCAACACCAGATGAAGCTCGTGGGAAGCTGCATCATTGTGGCGCCTGTAGCGAACAATGCCAGCCTGAACCTGGCGGCCACCAGTGATGCTAGAGTCGGGCGTGACACTACCAGGCCCCCGCGCATGGGGCGTCTCCCCGAAGGTGCCCACGCTCGCGCCCGCTCGATTGGGCCCCTCATTGCTAGCGCGTGCACCGCAGGTGCCGACGTCCAAGCCCCCAGCACGAGAGTGCGAAACTAATACAGCAATTCGACGTTCTCTGCCATTCGCCCCAAGGGGCGACTCCACGGAGGCGGCCATGTTGGCAGGGCGCATCCCTGCCGACGCATCCCCGGTCCGACACGCGGCCCCCCCTGTCCGAGCTGGGCGCGTCTGCCACGGCCGAACAAGGCTTCGACTACTTTGCCGACGCTTGGTTACAGAGAACCCAGGGCAAAGCTAAGTGCGAAAAGCCATGCAGCTCGGCCTTCTCTGCAACGATTCCTGCGTTGGTGGCGACGCCCTGCAGAGGAAAGTCCGCGCGGGCATCTTGGGTGATCCATCACCTCGGTAAGGATGGTGCAGTCACGAAGAAGAAGAAGCTCAGGAGCACGCGGCCTGGAAATCCCCTTGCTTGGCGGGGGAACGGATTGCCTTGAAAACCATGACCACTGACCAGCCGTGGAGTGACCTCCGGCCCCGCGCAAGGCATTGCGGGCCCCTTGAAGAAGACCTGCAATTGCTGGGCCCCCAGGCCACCCTAGCACAGGACGCCCTCCACCAGCCCAGTCCGCCCCCCTCCCGAGAGCTCCGAAGCGGATCCGCCCGAGGAATGCACCGACGACGATGCGGGGGCCAGGGGTGTCTATGCGGCCACTGACGGGGCCTGCGCGCGCCAGGGCCCGCTTCGGAGTGTGTTACGGGCCCGCTCACCACCTGAACAAGTAAGCCGGGGGGTGCACGGCTTGGCCGACCCTCGCCCTGCTCCACCCCGCAGCTACTGCTGAGCGGCCTGTCCACATATTCGTCGGCAGCCAAGCCGTCGTCGAGAGACGCGGGGCCATCCTCGCATGAAAGCCACCACAAGCCACCAGGCGCTGCATGCAAGACCGGATCAGAAAATCGACAGCCATCTCGGTGAGCAAGGCATAAACGAGGGTCGAATCACGCCGATCGCAAAGGCTTTTGACTGCCACGCAGATGAACTCGCCATTGCCAGAGCACGTCTGCATACCCTGCAGAAACATTTCACCGTCGGAGCCAAGTGGCGGCACAAATTCGCGGCGTCTCTCCACAGCATTGCTATCGCGATCTACGACCGTCGCCACCGCACGTTGCCCTTGCCAGACAGACGCGCGGGTTGATCCAGGGCTGAACTCAGGAAGATGAAGCCCAACCCGCTCACCATAGGGCAAGAAAGTGCCGAGCCACCAAACTTACTTGGCAAGCCCTTGCGACCGCAAGGCCCACCAGGGCTGGACTTCTTCGACGATCTCGACGACCCATGGAGAGGCCCAACCAATGACTTCGAAGGAGAAGACAAGGACCCAATGGGATGGCGGAGAGCAAGCGTTGGTCAGTGGGCAGTTCCCCTTTCCCTTTCCGACGGCAAGGGTTCGGGGTGTGGAGGACGGGCTCAGGCGCTCTCCCCGTGCGTTGCATGGCCCTCAGCGCTGCAGCAAAGAGGGCAGTGTCCTGGCCTCTTTGGTGGCCAATCCATCCAGGCCGCCCGCTCTAGCGGCAGGTCGGGCGCGGATTAAGTGGACGGGGGCTTCGTCGGTCAGGGCGAGGGGTGGAGCGGGGGTGGGGTCGGGGAGATCCTGGTGATGCTCAGCCTTAAAAGCCCCCGAAATGGGAATGGCCTCGTCAGAGCGGGCCCTTGTCCGCCCATGCCGCCCCAGTATCGGTTCCCACATGTCCGTCGTGAGCTTGTGTATGGTTCTCGTGTCTGCCAGGGTTTGGTGTTGCTTGTTGGCTGATCAGGGGTCTTCGGTGTCAGACTCGATCCCGCTGTCCGTGGCCGCACCAACGGGGGGAGTGGAGGATGCTTCACCGATTTGCCCACGTGCCTGGTGGCGCGTGTGGTGGGGGGGCTGCGAGGTGTGCGCAAATGGGCCGTGCTGGAATTGTCAGCCAATTCGGCCTACCAACTTTTCGCCCTACCTCTGTCATTGGCTCTCATCCGGGCTCGCCTGGCCATGGTGCGGTTGACTTTGTCCCGTTGGCTGCGCCTTTTTGGCTGCGCCTCCGCGGGGGCGACACGGTTGTCCAATTGCAGGTCGGTGGGGGGCTTGTTCCAAACGTGTGGGGCTCTGTGAGGCAGGTGGGTCACTGCCTGTGGGCAAGGACGTTGGCCGCCACTCATGCGCGTTTTATACGTTCCCACAGTTGAGCGTGGCTGGCGCCATGTCTGCTGTAGAAGACATGGTGCGGCCCCAGGTGGTGTTGCGCCGCTCTGAAGTGGCGCGCGCAGCTTGTCGGGAACGCTGTTGGCGCGGTTTGCCACGCCGCGTTCGGGGTGGGCGAGAGGGGCGGCGCGCGCTTCTTGGAACCGCGGTGTTTCGCTATGCCTGGTCGGTTCTGCCCGCGATTGGTGGACTTCATTGGCGGAACTTGGTGTGGAATGCGCGAGCCGCCTGGCTGGCGAGGTCGAACAATTTGTCCGCGTCGTTGGTTTTGTCAGCCTCGTCCGTCTGCTTGCGGTAGGCGTATTCGATGCGGTCTTGGAATGCTGGCTGCTCATCGCAGTCGATAGTCGGGTGCGCGAGCGGGTCTTGCACAACGCTCTTCATCCTCCTCGCTGGGCGTCTGGCCGCGTCGAGGCCGAGCGACGGCAAGAGCCTGATATGTTGCTTGGTAGGAAGGTCGCGAACCCGGAAACAGCTGGCGAAGAGTTGCCTACCTCTGCTGTTTGCGAAGGCGTAGCCGCTGCGCGTCCTACCCGTCCCAGGTGATATGTGGTCCCAGTCTGGATCTTGTCCGCATGTAGAAGATCGACCGTCTGGGCATCCAGTGGCGATGGCGTGCGACGGGGCAGCGGAGTTGCTTGCGTCGCACTGGGCGTCGGTGCATATGCAATATGGCACGTCTCCGACTCTGGTGGCCGCATCCCAGACCTGTTAGGATTTGGACGTTTTGTCGAAGCCCGATTCTCCGTATACGGATGGCACGTATCCTTGGTGGCGATCTTCGGTCGTGCGGCTGCACTCCGCCCGGTGGCGATGGAAGAGGCAGGGGCAAGGGGGAGGGCCTCCGTCCATCGCGCGGTCGCGAGGGGAGCCGCGACAGATGCGCCAGCCTTGGCGGTGTCAACGAGAGCATGCAGACGCCGCCGTGTCGGGCAACCGTGGAGCGGATTCTGTGGTCAGGTTCCCCTCCGTGACCTTCGCGTTGCACGTGGTCGTCGTTGGGGCTGCGGCCCCAGGACTGGTCGCGAGGCACCGTTCCTTGGTGAGTAGCTTGGACCGACCTGCAGATGGACAAACTCGGTCTCAGCTCGGACCGACCTGCAGATGGTGGCCAAGCGCGTCCTCTGCGTGCCGCCGCGCGCGGGCAGGAAGAGCGAGACCGCGCTTGCCGCTTTCACGCTGGAGCTGCTGGCCTGGTGGGGAGCCGGGGGGCGCTCGACTCTCCGGCGGGAAGCGTGCGGCGAGCGACCGGGAGAGCGGCGGCAACGAACGAAGAGGCCGCCGACGACGGAGCAGCGCGCCGCCCGCGCCGCCGCTTTTGCGGCGGACGGCCTGCTGGGGAAGGGCTGCGCCGCCTTGGCCGCCGCGGGCCTCGCGACGCCAGCGCGGGAGACCGCGCTGGCCCTCGAGAGGCTGCGCCCTGCTACGCCCGCCCTGCCTCTAGGCTGCCTGGAAGAGCTCGTGGCCGCGCCCGAAATCGCCCCGAACTCGGTGCTAAAGGCCTTGCGCGGTTTCCCACAGGGCACGGCTGCCGGTGCCTCCGGCCTGCGGGCGCAATGCTTGCAGGGCGCCCTCTCTCTGGCCGTGCGGGCGCCCCTGTGCGAGCAGCTCGCAGTCGTCGTCCAGCTCCTGGCCAATGGGGGCGCCCCCCGCCAGCTTGCGCCGCACCTGGCCAGAACAAGCCTGGTCGCCTTGGAAAAGGAGGACGGGGGGCCCCAGCCTATCGCTATCGGTGAGATCCTCCGTCGCTTTACAGGCGAGGTCCTCTGCGAGCGCGTGGAGGCCCGCGCCGGCCAGTCCCGCTGGCCACTGCAGGCAGGCTGCCGCAGCCCTCTCGGCGCGGAGGCGACGATTCACGCCGCGCGCCAGCGGTGCGAACGGAACGCCAGCGACAGCGGCGATGTGTTGCTCAAGCTGGATTTCGCCAACGCTTTCAACTCCTTGAAGCGGGAAGCCGTGCTGCGGGCCGTGCGCTCCCGCTACCCAGAGCTCGAGCGTTGGGCGCGATGGACCTGCGCGGAGCACTCAACCCTGCGCTTCGGCCAACGCAGGCTCTCGTCTCAGGCGGGCGCGCAGAAAGGGGGCCCTCTGGGACCGCTTTTCTTCGCCCTGGCCTTGCGCGACGTCTTAGAGGAACTGGCTGGTCAGCGAGCCTTGGACCAGCGCGCGTTCTACCTGGGCGACGGCTTCCTGGCGGGCCCCGCGGACGCCGTGGCGCAAGCGCTGGCTCTACTACAAGCCCGGTGCCCGGAGCGCGGTTTGGAATTGAACCTTGGCAAGTGCGAGCTCGTTGCCCCGTCTGGGCGTGCCCCCGCAGACCTCGGCGGACTTTTCCCCGCCCCTTTGCTAGCGGGGGCTGAAACTGGAGTTAGCCGCGTCGCCTTGCCGGATGGGTTCGAGCTGATGGGCGCGCCCATCGGCGACCAGGCCCACTGCGGGGCTCTCACGAATAAGAGCGCAGACGAAGCCAAACCCACCCTGGCGGCACTCGCAGACCTTCACCCGCAAGCGGGCCTCCAGCTGCTACGCTACTGCGCGAGCTTCAAAGAACTCGTGTGCAGCGCCCGCGCGGCCCCGTCAGCTCTGCACTCGGAAGCACTCGGCAGCTTCGACTTGTGTCGGCGTCGCGCGCTCGCCGACCTCCTGGCGGCGGACCTGACAGACGCGCAGAGGCACCAGGCAGCCCGCGGACTGGCTTTTGCAGGCTTAGGCTTGCGGCGCTTGGAGGCCCGCGCGCCCGGAGCTTGCCTGGCGAGCCTGGCTGCGACCCGATGCCTCTTCCCCGCGCTGGACCCAGCCTGCAGGTGGGCGCCAGAGGACGCGAGCGCGAGGGCTGGACAGGCGCTCCTCGCCCACGACGCCCAGCTGCCAGGGGCAAGCGGAGCGCTCCGGGAAACCCTCGAGGGCGCCACGCAGAAGGGCCTTTCTGCTGCTTTGGACGATCGCGACCACAAGGCCTTCTGCGCTGGCTTGAGCGAGTCAGACCTTGCGGGCATCCAGTCTGAACAGCTCCCCGTCGCAAGCGGCTTCCTGGAGGCGCCGCCGAACGAGAACCTCGGGCTGCTCTTCGAACCAGAGGAACTCGTGACTGAGGTCAAGCGCCGGCTCCTAGTACCCGTCTACGAGTCCGAGCACTACTGCCCGTGCTGCGACGGCGTGTGCGACTAGCACGGCCGCCACTGGGGTATTTGCGCAGGCGCTGGGGACCGGGTGCGGCGACACAACGCCGCACGCAACATGGTGGGTTGCTTTGCTTCGTCGGCCAGCTTCAACCCAGAGCTGGAGCGCCCAGGGCTCTTGCCACCCCGGCCTGGCGACACTCAGGTCAACGGGCGTCGCCCTGCGGACGTCTACGTGCCATCCGAGGGACACCTGCTGCTTTCGACTTTGCGGTCTCTTCGCCGCATCGGCACGCTGCTCTCGGCATGGCTCGGTTCGGCTTCGGGCGTGCGGCCCAAGCATACGAGGCGACCAAACGTGAGCACTTGGACACCGAGGCCTAGTGCAGGCGGCAAAGGGTAATGCTCGTCCCCCTGGTGGCGGAACCGTCGGGCGGATGGGGCCCCACGGGCGCGGACGCCCTCCGCCGTTTGGCTCGGTCCAGCGACGGACGCCTCGGAGAAAAGGCGGGCGCCGGGGCGGCTCGCCTCTTCAAGCAGCTCTCTGTGGCCATTCGCAAGGCCACGGCGCGGGCTGTGCTGCATGGGCACACACAAAGCCCCCCGACTATGGGGGCGCGTTGTCCGCTGCTCTCAGCCTGCTGGCGGCTCCGGGCGACGACAACGCCTAGCCTTCCTCGTCCCCTCCTCCGTTTTTCCACCTCTTTCTTCTTCTGCCCCTCCCTCCCTCGTCTTCCCAAAAGCTCGGAGTCGTGATTCTTTGCGGCGCGGTACCCTGTCCGAGATGCCCTGGCGGGATAGCGCCCCCCGCCAGGGACCTGCAAAAAATCCCCCTCCGATGGGCGCCGCGCCCGCGCCGGAGTTTTTGTCAGCTGCCCCTCCAGCCTGGCCATACTTCTTGTTCGGTGGGTGTTCCTTCCTCCCTTCCCCCCCCCTTTCTTTTCTCCCGTTCCTTGCCTCCCCAGGCGGGCGCGTGCGCGCCTAACGGTGGGGGCGGTGGCTCAAATCCCACGGCCGCGCGCCCGCTTCCTCCGCCTTCCGGTTCCTTTCCCCCCCTCCTCCCCGTTTTCCCCCCTCCGGGGTATCCCCCTCAGCCGTCATGCGTCCTTGCCCGCGCTCGGTCTTTCACCCCCCCCCCTCCCCCTGGCATTTGGCCAGGGCTGCGGGGCCAGACAGGTGGTGCACAGCGGTTCGTGCCGTCTCACCCCCCAACCTCCGATGCATTGCATGGCTTGTGCAGCATGGTGTAGCTGATTTTGTTTTCTCGCATCGTTTCATCAGCTCTCCCCTGAGCTTGTGCTGGTTGGGGCGGTGTCATTGACAAATGGTGTCGAATTCGGATTGGTGCTTGCGAACAAATTTGTTGTGCGCAGCGACTGCTCGGCCGGCGCCGCCAACGCTGGGGAGTGCGGCGACGCAAGCTTCCTTGGGACAGGGTTCTATCCAGTGAACTTGCATTTTGGCGGCCTTTGCCTGGTGGCTTAGGCTGCTGAGGATTGGTACGCTCACGGCGTGGACCGTTCGTGGCCATGGCGCGCGCGTGCACTGAAGGTGAATGTGGCGGCAATGTGTCACGACCTGGGATGGACCGTGTCAGGTCTCGCAAGGCAAGAATGGATGCGGGACGCTTGGCGTCTGGGTTCGCTCCGAACAAAACTCTCGAACCGAGACTTGAACTAACTTGGCTACAGAAGAGAGAGAGAGAGAGAGAGAGAGAGAGAGAAAAAAGAAAGAGAGGGAGAGGAACATACACAGAAAAAGAGAGAGCAAGAGAGAGAGAGAGAGAGAACGAGAGAAAGAGAAAGAGAGAGAGAGAGATGGATAGAGAGAGAGAGAGAAAACAAATAGAGTTAATTAGTTAGTTAGTTAGTTAGTTAGATATATATATATATATATATATATATATATATATATATCGAGAGAGAGAGAGAGAGAGAGAGAGAGAGAAACATAAACATACGTACGCACCTGTATAATCTGTCAGAGAAGGCGAGAATACGGAGACGAGGATTGATGAAAAGAGGGTAAGGAGAGAACGGGGAATGTCTTGTCCCAAAGAATAAAAAAAATGATCGGGATGTACTGGATGGAGCAGACCTGGGAGTGCAGTGGGACGAATGGCGAACTCATAACAACTGTGCCGCTGAGCATGCTTCGCATTCGAAATCTATCAGACTTCGCGTGTCTACTTATGCGCCTGCAAATGCGTTTGCGCCCATGCGCGTGTCAGGGCGCAGAACTTGGGTGCGCAAAGTTCCGCCACGTGCCTGGTATGCATGTTTAGCAACTCTGTATAACAATCTGATGGGCGGGGCGATCCGCTTGACCTTCATCCCTGTGTTCCTCCTCCCCCGCCTCCTCCTTTTCCGCCTGCGCCTTCCCTTCCTTCTCCGCCTCCTCCGTCTTCTCCTCCCTCGCCTCGCCTCCCCATGTAATCCTCCTCGGCTTCCCCGTCAGCCGCCTCATTCTCTTCCTTCGCTCTCCTTCCTATCTTCCTCCAACATGTTTCTTTTTCTTTATGCAACTGTTTCCTTCTCTATCTCATCCGTTCTTTCTCTCTGAGCAAGATACGCTTCAAATGCCTCATCACGGAGATATGCTTCAACCTCGCGCGCCACGCCGAAGGGGGGGCCCAGGACATCGTGGACGTCTGCGCTGCCTTTTAGCAACAAGCCAACATGAGGCTGCTGTTCACAATTTTTTACGCGGCGCTTTCTTGGGAAGAATTTTGGGCGATTGCGCTCCCTCGCGCCTCCCACTATAAGCCTGTAAACGTCAATTCTGGTTTCAAGCGTTGGCTCTCCCGATCTGACTAAAATCTAGTTCGTTGCGCTGCCCTCGGAACGGCAATCAAAGGAGACGGAAACCAAATTTCAATCAAATGGTCGCCCCTTCCTCTGGGTAGTCGCGGGTGTGCCTGGGTTCGTTCATGACCGGTTCAACTGGGCGAACGAAACAAAAAGAAAGCCTACGACGGATCTCGCTGCGAGTTGGCTGGTGCAGTCCTGGGCCTGGACATACTTAGGACAAGTGCTTGATCCTGGCACCCGCCTGGGTTCTAGGAGCGTGCCTCGGGCGCGTCCTAGATCACAAGAGGGGCTTGGAGTTGGTGGTGGATTGACTCTTGGGTCGGACTTCCAAGGGGGTTCCCCCGAATGATGACCCATCCTGCGCTTTTCTTGTCCAACCTATCCACAAAGATCTCAAACTAGGGTGCACGAGTGCGGAGCCCACGGGCAAAATTACCTAATTGCTTCGCCCTTCCATCGACCATGAACATGTCATCCTTGAAACGAATATGTGATGTGGAACGGGTTAAATGTGAAGTGAATTGCCCATGCCTCCATGCGGGTGGTGAGGGCCAAATCGGCACCTTCTCCACTGTCGGGCACCCCATGCCGGACCTTCGCACTACCTCCAGAAACGATTCGGGACATTCGGGGACTGCAGGTATGCGGTATTGAGCAGCAGCCACAAGCTTCATTCCACCAAATCCGTCAGTGGCAGCGCAAACTACATGACGATATATGTGTGTATATATATATATATATATATATATATGTTCTGCCGCCGCTCTGCTGTCTCTGACGAGATGGAGGAAGCGGGCAAGCTTGCTGCGCAGGGTGCGGCCCAACCAGCGTGTCAAACCATACAGCGCGTACTCCCCTGCCGCGTAGGTGTTCTTGACTCCACTTTGTTCGGGTGCTTGCAAGTCTTACGTGTTTTCACCACAGCCGCATGAAGCTTAACCTTGTGTTGATTGTCTGCAATACTATTGACCACGTCATTGAAGCGAGCTTTATCCACCAGCACTTCGGTGTATTCTGCGTCGTTGAGGAAGATGCGTCGACGGCGAGGTCGTCAGCCAACGAGTTCAAAGTGCACCTCAGTTCTTCATTATGGTTGTGCTCAACAAGGTCGGGAGATCTGAACAAGCGCACTGCATGGTTCAGCAGCGGGATCACATTACAATGCGGATGGTGACGATGCTTTGGACCTGAAATTGGCGGTATGTATACTTGCACTACGTGCTACTGGAAGGAGCGCCGCCAAAAGTTCATGTGAGTGCATGGGAGCGTTACCCACTCTATGATGCGATACTTCTATTTTAGCTGACTCTCTTTTTACCAGCGACACAAGCGGTACACTCGCATGCGTGTGGCTTGCTCGCAGCCGCTAATCCGCACCAGCGTGCATCTCCAATGGAGCTCGTGACCCCTAGGCGACATCAAGCTACTCATGTGAGCCCGGACCAACCACCCGCCATCACACATATGTACCACGCAACCTGAGCAACCTATGAATGGACGCTGGCAACTCCGCAACGTCCTCGGCCCCTGGAGCTCGAGCTGTCCCAAACCGAGAGTGGCAAGTTCGGCAGATTACCGGCAGAAGATCCACCAAGGATCGACCGCGGGGTGGGCCGTCGAGGAGGCTCTCCACGCCGAAACCTCCCAGCTTCTCCTCTGCGGCGCACCGCTCAGAGTGCAGCCCAATATCCAACATCAAGCTGATCGGCACGCACATGCATGTGGGCCCTCGCCCACGAGGGAGGCTGGTTGGGTTGGCTGGAGAGGAGGTTTTTGAAGCCTTCCAGGGCCACTCAAAATCAGGTTGGATTGACTTGGATGGGCTGGCTCGGGAGGCTTGGCTGGCCGGGCTGGCTGCGGGGCAGGGAGGGCACAACAGCTCATTGGATGTCTCCAAAACCAAATCAGGACATGGGAGAAATCGCTGTCAAGGCGATGTGTACCAGGAGCGAGTGGGTACGGTTGGGGTGAACATCTTGACAACAACACTGGCTGCGCCATGCCCAGCGGGAGCGAACGAGTACGCTTGGAATACATTTCCTGAAAATATCGGCTTGGAAAACATATCGCGGACATCGCATGTTTGCCAGCGTGGGTGTGTATGATATGCGGTGCAATCCAGGTGGTGCTGTCGATGTTGCACAATCTATCTGGTGTACCCAATGTAGTGCAAGATAGGTTGTGCAATCTATTTGACGCAAAACATGTGATGCATTCTATGTTGTGCGAGCTCTGTGGTGCATGCAAGCTCTGTCAAGCAGGCCACGCGGTGCAGTCTATGTGGTGTGGGCTGTATCGGGCTTGCTGTACGTGCTGCAAGCTATGTGGCGCAATCGATGTCATGCGCCTCTGTGGTGCAAGCAGTGCTTTGCAAGCTATGTGGTGCAAACCATGTGGTGCACCCAGCGCACGGGGCGACCTCCGAGCGGCAACGGACGGGCACCAGGCGAAATCTCGCCACACCCACCCACGAGGCGCCCTCGGGCGGGCACCGTGCGAACGCCCGACGCACGCACCGCGCGCAAGGGGCGCTCACGAGGCGCCCACGACAAGTCACCAACCGGGCACCAGGCAAAAACCTGTCATACCGATCCAGTTTCTTAAGAGCGCAAGTCAGAAAACATATGTGCAAACACTGTTTGGGGCACTTGCAACGCAATGTGCGCTGGGAGCGAGCGGGCGCGCTCGGAGCGGGAATCTGGGCTTTCGTTGGTTGGTGGTGATGTGTGTTGGTTTTGAGCTGGTGTGCTCAGATCGAGTTTTCGTGAAACCACGCTGGCAACGCGAAGTGCACCAGAAACCAATCGGCACGCTCGAATTGAGCTGCCTGCTAGCTTTGCGCCGGCTGGTCACACCACGTCACAATACATGATGCCACACGACACGACACGACCTCCCCCCCCACACAGCGCACACTACGCCCCGCCAAATACCACAGCACACCACACACCAGCACAACATGCACCACGCATCACGCAGCACACAGCACGCACACGCACACAATTTTGGAGTCGCGGCCACGCACGCAGCGACGTGCAGGAGGCTGTCGGAGAAGCGCCTGGAGGGCCTGGCGAGGCCACCGAAGCGGCCCTGGACAGCCCAGCGAGGAGCACAAAGTTCACCCCCATGGAACCACGCTTTGCGGGCGTCTCTCGGGGGGCAGCCGAGGAGAGGCGACGAGCGAGGAAATTACCAACAGGGGAACGACCGCGGAGGAGGGGGACAGACGTGGGTGCGCCGACACGCCCATTGACGGACTACTCGGGGTCCACAAGCAGCAAGCACGCACAGACCACACTTCACGTCAAGCACCACAAGCCACACCACACACACTTGCACGTACCGCGCAACTGGCAGCACGCGCCAAATTCCAAACTATTTTTCAGGCATGCGCAAGCAGACGCGCTCGAGACCGGAACCCATGCGCATCTTCAACCCACCAAATGGTAGCGCTGGGCTCCGTGCTCTTCACAGGAACGCCGCGCCACGAGCGAGGCCAGCAAGTCCTACAGACCGTACGGGCGCCCACAGACGAATCGCGAGCTGGAAAGCATGCGCGTGTCCTACCTCCTCCTTTGGAGGAGAGGTGGAAGGAGGAAGAGGAGGCGAAGGAGGATGGACGAGTACAGGGGCGGAAAGAGAGAAACAGGAGGATGAGGAGCAGGAGTTGGATCGGCGCCAGAGGACCAGGAAGAGCAAGGCGAGGAGGACCATGAATGCGAGGGGCGTGATGATGAGGCGATGGAGAGGGAGGAGGAAGACATAAGAGGAGGGTAGAGGAGGACCAGTAGGGATGCTGACAATGGGACGACGATGGAGCATGAGAGCATGGGGAGGAGGAGAAGGCCAGTTAGAAGAGGATGGGCGAGGAGCAGCTGGGCGAGACGGGCTTCTGTGCAGACGGCGCCCGCCGCCACTCTGTCAGGCCACCGACGTGGTCGACACCCGTCGAGAATACGTGCCCGTCGACTGCCTGCGGTCAGCACCAGGAGAGGGCGGGGAGGTGCCGAGGGCCTTCCACGCCTCGTTCCCCTCAACAGACGGAAGCAACATCTGGACGCATTCGGATGAGAACTGGCGCGTTTGTGGAGGCTGCATCGTGGGCGCGGCGGCCGGTTCAAAGACCTGCCGGGACTTTCCGAGAGCGTCCCGGAACACTCTGGAGCGACGTATTTGCATCCCAGGCCTGCCCGAGTTCGCTCAGGAGGGCCTACAGAACTACGATGGCCGGCAATCGAAGGATTGCAAAAAAACCCGTTTCATCCTCGAGAGGGTTTTTTTGCAATCCTGGTTTTTTTTGCAATCCTTCGAAGGATGGCCGGCAATCGAAGGGTTTTTTTGCAATCCTTCGTTCATATGCCGTTTCACCCTCGAGAGGCTTTGCGCCGTGTGGCGTCGGAACGTGCCTGCACCAGCCGCCTGACTGCATCTGCGTACTCCACCGGTGGTGCAGTCAGTTTCTGCCGAGGACGACTGCATCTTATGATCGAGAACGGGTAGGGCCTCCTCTTTCTCTACTCCCCCTCTCCCTCCTCCCCCTGCGGCAGGATCGTGTGCTGACGACATGGGCGCAGGTTTCTGACGCTGCGTGGGTCGTTCAACCTTCAACGACAGTAGTTTCTCGGTCTGCAGATTGCTGGATAGTGGCCGACTCTGGGCCGCTGCTGGTGTTCCACCTTGAACATCTGCGCTGGGATCGCCGCCGCGTCAACATGACGCGAGTCTGCCGTGCCCCCATCTCCCTCATCTCTCTTTCCCCCCTCACCCCCCCTCCCCTACGATTACTCCAGATTTCGTAATAAAAGGGAGGGGGTCTGGACCCTCCAAGATAAGCCATTTCAGACCTCCCCCGTGGGAGAACCCTCCAAAACATCGTCCCCAGACCCCCCCAGGCCCTCCAAGATAGCCTGGAAGACCCCCCCCCGAAATGAGACCCCCCTCCTTTTATTACGAAATCTGGAGTACACGTTATGTGCACTACCCACCGCACTCCCTTCACCCTTGGCTATGTCCAGCCAGGCTGCCGCCTCTCCCTCGTACTAGATACGACGCAGGATTTCAACATCTGATGCATGATGTTTGCAAGCTTGGGCCCCAGGCGATGTGTGCTCTAGCACTGTGGATCTACAGTGGATTTGGTGCAAGCTCTGTCGTTCACTCTGTGGTTCATGCCATGTGTTGCAGTCTATCTGGTGTCGGCTTGGTGGTACGCTCTATGTGGTGTAAGCTAATTTCGGTTCGCAGTGAGTTGTCCACTCCACTGCTCGCGCAAACATCCCACCCACCCACCCGCAACTTGATTTGCAAACTTTCTTAAGACCGTGACGGTGGGTACCAAATGGCACTTGGCAACAATAGCGACGCCGACGACGACAGCGACAACGACAACGACGCCGCCGACAACGACTATGACGACGCCGACGACGTCTCCAACGACTTCGACGACGCCGACAACGGCAACGACGACGACACCGACGACGAGGACGAGGACGACGCCGACGCCGACGACGACGACGACGATGACAACGACGACGACGATGACGACGCCGACGACGATGACAACGACGACACCGACGACGACGACGTTAACGACGCCGACGACGACGGCGGCGACGACGATGACGCCGACGTCGACGACGACGAAGACGACGCCGACGCCGACGACGACGACGACGACGACACCGACGACGACGACGCCGACGCCGACGCCGACGCCGACGACGACGACAACGACGACGACGATGACGACGCCAACGACGATGACAAGGCGACACCGACAACGACTACGACGACATTAACGACGCCGACGACGACGACGAAGACGACGCCGGCGACGACGACGACGCCGACGTCGACGACGACGAAGACGACGCCGACGCCGACGCCGACGACGACGACGAAGACGACGACGACGACGTCGCCAACGAAGACGACGACGAGGGAGGAGGGAGGACGACGACGGCGACAACGACGACAACGACGACAACGACGAGGGAGGAGGGAGGGCGGCGACGACGCGAACGACGAAAAAGGAGGAAGGACGGCGACGCCGACGACGACAACGACGAGGGAGGAGGGAAGACGACGATGACGACAACGACGACGACGACGACGGCGACGAAATAGGAGGGACGACGACGACGAGGGAGGAGGAGGACGAAGGACGACCACGGCGACAACGACGACGGAAACGACCACGACGCCAAAGAGGACGACGACGACGAACACGAGGAACGACAGAGGACGACGTGGGCGACGACAACGACGACGCAGGAGGGAGGACGGCGACGACGACGACGCAAGAGGGCGCGCGCACGCTTTTGTTGAACATCCGTGTTGCGAAACCTTATGTTTTTGTAGGTTTTTTGGACACACGATTTTGAAATCCTTCCGAAACCGATGGGTTTTGAAGGATTTCGGCATACGCGCGCGACGACGCGCGCGTCTGCACTTCGTCCCAGTTTTTGCAGAGGATTCTCGCGACGGCACACGCGCAAGGGCGTTGGACAGATTTCGACATGCGCGCGCGCGCGAAGCCCGTTTGGTAGCATTTTGTGAAAAACTTGAAAAACCAATGGTTTTCTTAAGATTTCGCAAGAGCTCGCGCGTAAGCTTTTTTAGCAAATCAGTGTTGCGAAACCCTGTGTTTTTGTAAGTTTTGTGGAAACTCGAATGCGCAAGCCTTCCGACACATAAGGTTTTTGAAGGATTTCGGCATGCGCGCGCGACGACGCGCGCGTGTGCACTTCGTCCGATTTTTTGCAAGACATTCGTGAACAAGTCTTATTTTAAACCGAAGAATGTCCCCGCGTATGGTTTTTTACAAGGGAACCTCAGGGGGAGCGATACTGGCCCCCCTGGGGTAGTGAAAATTCATCTTTAGGATGGACATGTGGTCATAATCATATATGATTTACGTGCCCGGAAGGGGGGGATAACGCCGGGGGGGGGGGTAGAGTCTATTCTCCTTTTAGAAAGGAGAAGTAAGTGGTGCAATACATGTGGCGCATGCTCTGAACTTTTGAACTATTCGGACTTGTCACGCCAATGCTCGAACAAACATTCCACCCACGCACCCCTAACCTCTTTGCAAAACCCACCTGGTGCAACGACGCCAGGACCCTGCCCATGCAGATCCATGACTCGGGAGGGCGACTGATGATAGTGACGACGACACAAGCGACGACGATGACCATGCTGTTGGCGATGATGATGAGGGCGACGGCAACAATGATGATGCAGCTGCTAATGATGATGGGGATGATGAAGACGATGATGATGGTGATGATGCTGATCATGATAATGATCACGACACCGATGGTGATGGTGATGAAGCTGATGGTGGTGACGACGATGGCAACGATGACGCTAGCGATGCTGATGTCGACATTGTTGCTGATGGCAAGGAAGTGCGCGCGCGCAGAACCCCCGAGATTGTTGATAGGGAATCTGTTTGCGTTTGCTACGTATTTTGATATAGGTATGCTAACACTCTTATAACGATTCCGACATGCGCGCGCGAGGACGCACGCGGGAATCCCGCATGGTATTATTCGACAAAGGTGGCGTCTGCGAGGTGATTGTGGGATATTTTCGACATGCGCGCGCGTGGCCCGCATGGTCTCGTTTGATAGAACGACGACAAGCCAGTTGTATTCCTGTGATTTTACCAGGT